TCTTTTTTTACTTCTTACATCAAAAGGAGATGAGATATCTTTGACCATAACTTGTAGCAGTTTTTGATAAGGGCAACATGATGCATCAATAACTATCAAAAACTCAGTTGTTATTCCATCCAACAGGCTGCAGTCTGTTATTACAGTTACAAGAACTATATTACATAACTTACTATATTCCACTGAAGTACTGACCTTGCATCGTGCAGTCGTTGCAGTTAGGAATTCTGGCAGATCCTGGGTGAGATGGACACCTGCTTGGAAGAAAAGTTTACAAACAAGAAAAGTCACTGTCTTGCATCTACCTAGAAGAAAGTTCCATTGAATGCCTTCTGATCAAATATGCATAAGCATTAACTGTTGAAGCATGCTCCTCAATTTCATTCTTCCTTGCAACATTCCTTGCAACATGTCTTTATATTATGATTTGCATAATGGCTTGTCCTACAGTAGTAAAAAAACCCCTATTCACCCTGAATGTGATACTGGCAGTCTTTAATATGCATGGTGACTTTGGTAAGTCTCTGCACAGGTATTTTTGACCTTTCACCTGACTTTGCTCTGCACTAAGCAAAGTCAGAAGATACTCTGGGGTATCCATGCAATTTGTGGCCTCTGGGCAGATGGCTTGGGCCTATTTTTGGCCTGATCCATTGTCCACAAACACACTGCTGTCATCGCTCTTGCTAATCAGCACAGGAAAGAGGGTAAGTTGTCCGTGTGTTGCTGCTATTGTTCTAGCCCCTCCTGGCTGATCTCATGGATGACCTGTCATGACCAGAGCAAATGCAACAAAGAATGACCATATGCTCTCAAGGGGCTTTATAGCCACTGGGGTGTGATGGTAATAACACATAGACAAAGTGACAGATGAACAGGGCAAATGTGGTGGGGTTGGCTGGACCTGCTGGACACCAATGGTTTGGTTCAGTGCATTTCACTTCCAATATGGTCAATCCAGATGGTATAGGCATGGCCTACATCTGCATACATTGGTTTTTTGTCCTAAACATTTCATTCATGCATGCACTTAGCAAGTGTGTTTAAATGTATCCATTTCATTATCCATCCTGATATATGCCGTTATCTGTCAAAGAAGCCAAGGAGATATAAAAGTCATACCATTGCTTTTGATCATTTCATGTTGTTTTTAAAAAGAGGCATTTGCATTTAATATGACAGACATATATGTTGACAGAATATATAAGAGTGCTTTTTCAGTTTGCTTAACTGACTGCATCTGTTGTGTTAAAAATGGAGATTGTCACAGCTAGCAGTGAGTCCCTTTTTGAGAAATTATTATCTCTATATGAAGGAAATGCAGAAGGCAATAACAGTATGAAAAAGAAAATGGGTATGAAATTTAAAAACAGAGTAGGAAGTGATTTTTGTTTATTTATTTATTACACTTTTACACTGTCCAATAACCACAGTAGAGTATATAAAAATAAATAGAAACCAAACAGTTGGCCATAAATAAAGAGCACACAATAAAACCATGATAAAACCAGCAGCAAAAGCACTGCAGGACATAAACCTAACATAAAACCAGCAAAAAAGTAGTAGAGTTCTAAGATCTAAAACCACTCAAAAGGCCACAACTTTGGTGCTTACTGAACTTCCACAAGAGGAACAGTTCACATGCCTCCTCAAGTAGAGTCCACGTGCCTACATATCTTCATGTGAAACCTCTTTTCTGAGCCTGGAAAGCTGTTAGTAACAAAGCATGAATACTGGCTACAGCTCTTTTCTTTGGCTCCTGTTGCACTGAACCCCTTTTATATAAACCCTGGACTATCCTTTCTCCAACTAGAGGATTGCTTCCCAATATAATTCATGTCAACATTCAAAGTGCTTGGAGTGACATTTAAAGTCCTAGATGACTATGAATGAGAGACCTCCAAATCATCCAAGTCACCCCAAATAATCAATAACCTTGCTCAGTGGGTTGTTGTAGGGCTTTCAGGCTATATTGCCATGTTCTAGAAGCATTCTCTCCTGATGTTTCGCCTGCATCTATGGCAAGCATCCTCAGAGAACATGGCCATATAGTCCGAAAAACATACAACAACCCAGTGATTCCAGCCATGAGAGCCTTCGACAAAACCTTGCTCAGGTCTTGCAAATTCAGGGACTACAATATAACATATCGGGTGTCATTTTTACAGGTTTTGAAATGAAGAGATTGTTTAAAGATCTCTAAAGATTGGATGGCCATCTCAAGGAGTGCTTTAGGTAAGTATTCTTGTGTATTTATATGTAAAAGAGCTATGTACAGTAACTTGGAACAGAAGAAAACTAACAAAGAGGAATTCAAATAAATGACCTGTTTACATAGAGGTAAAGTCAGAAAATCAGAAGTATGGAATGAACTTAGGTTTGTTTGAGAAATTAGAAACATTTTGGTTATGTCTGGAGTAAAAGGGAGAACAAGAAAATAATGAGGTCAACATGGGGTACCCCCTTTCTTTCCTTTTTGCTTTAGCCTTCTCCAAAAAGAAAAACCATACTGAACATTGGAGAAATCAAGTAGATTGTGCATTAGGAGAAATGGAGCACAGAGTAAGTAAAGAGGCAGTACAGCAATACCTGGCTACTTTAATTGAATTCAAATCTCCAAGTACAGCAATACCTGGCTACTTTAAATGAATTCAAATCTCCAAGGTTGTCTCTGACCGAACACGGGTTAGAGCCTCACTTAGGGCCTATTTCGCGGCTATACGGGTAGCCAGGGAGACCTTCACGACTGCCCGCATAGCATCTGCATCTAATAGATCTTCTGAGTTGTTTCGGGTTGTCGGGGAACTCCTTCACCCCCCTGAGGTGGAGGAGGCCTTCGATGGCCCAATAACTCGGTGCTGCAAGTTTGCGCACCATTTTGCAGATAAAGTCGCTCAGATTCATCTTGAGCTGGACTCCAATTTCATCACAGTGCCAGGTGAGGTGACTGAGGCATCTGCTTGTCTGGTTTTGTGGGATTCTTTCCGGCTTGTTCATCCTGAGGGCAAGGAGGAGGTCCTTGGGGGTGTGAGGGCGACCACGTCAGCTCTGAACCCCTGCCCGTCTTGGTTAATTAAATCGGCCAAGGGTGGGTTGATTGATTTATGTTGATCATTAATGTATCATTGGAGCAAGGAATTTTTCCATCTGGACTAAAACAGGCTGTGGTCAGACCACTCCTGAAAATGACTTCCCTTGACTCCACAATCTTGAACAACTACAGACCAATCTCCAACCTTCCTTTCCTGGGCAAGGTGTTGGACCGGGTGGTCGCCTCTCAGCTCCAGGGCTTCCTGGATGACATCAATTACCTGGACCAGTCACAGTCTGGCTTCAGGCCTGGTCACAGCACCGAGATGGCTTTGTTCGCCTTGGTGGATGACCTCCGTAGGGAGCTGGACAGGGGGAGTGTGACCCTGTTGGTTCTCTTGGACATCTCAGAGGCTTTTGATACCATCAATCATGGTATCCTTCTGGGACGACTCTCCAGAATGGGTCTTGGAGGCACGGTTCTATCGTGGCTCCGATCCTTCCTGGAGGGCCGTTCCCAGATGGTGAAGCTAGGAGACACCTGCTCGGACCCCTGGCCTTTGACCTGTGGGGTCCCGCAAGGTTCTATTCTGTCTCCCATGCTTTTCAACATCTACATGAAACCGCTGGGAGAGGTCATACGGAGTTTTTGAGTTGGGTGCCATCTCTACGCAGATGACATGCAACTCTACTACTCTTTTCTACCTAATTCCAAGGAAGCCCCTCGGGTGCTGAACGAGTACCTGGATGCTATGGCGGTCTGGATGAGAAGGAACAAGCTGAGGATCAATCCCGATAAGACAGAGGTCCTCCTGGTTGATCATAAACCAGATCAGGGTATAGGGTGGCAACCCGTGTTGGACGGGGCTGTACTCCCCCTGAAGTCACAGGTCCGCAGTTTGGGTGTCCTCCTGGACTCATCACTTACCCTTGAAGTTCAGGCGTCGGCGGTGGCCGGGAGGGTCTTTGCACAACTAAGACTCATGATCCAACTGCGACCGTACCTCGAGAAGGTGGATCTGGCCAGGGTGTTCCATGCCTTAGTCATCTCCAGATTGGACTACTGTAATGCACTCTACATAGGGCTACCCTTGAAAATGGCCCAGAAATTTCAATTGATTCAATGAGCGGCGGCCAGATTGTTAACCGGTGTTCCTGGCAGGGAGCGGTCAACCCTCCTGTTTAAGGCTACCGTTCATTTTCTAGTCCCAATTGAAGGTGCAGGTGCTTACCTGCAAAGCCCTAAACTGTTTGGGACCCGCCTACCTGCGTGATCGCATCACTGTATACGAACCCACGCAATCTCTTTGATCATCTGGAGAAGCCCTGCTCATGCTCCCACCTCCATCACAAGCGCGATTGGTGGGGACGAGGGACAAGGCCTTCTCGGTGGTGGCCCCTTGACTCTGGAACTCACTCCCCAGGGACATCAGACATGCTCCAACATTGGCAGTCTTTAGGAGGAGCCTGAAAACGTGGTTGTTCCAGTGTGCCTTCCCAGAATAAGGAAACTCCCAGCAATATGTCCCTTAAAGCACTTTAGTAGTGATCTAGGGTTGTCTGCACGCTCTATCCCTCTCCAAAATTTCTATCCTGTTTATATGTCACCTGGTCATGCCCAGCATTATTTTTTTAAAAAATTAATTAGTACATTTGGCCCTGCCATAGGTTTTTAAACGTCGTTGTGTTATTGTTAATGTTTATTACTATTTTCTGTTTGAGTTTTATTTATTGTTGTATTACTGTTGCTATTGTTTTATTGTTGTATTGTGGGCTCGGCCTCATGCAAGCTGCACCGAGTCCCTTGGGGAAATGGTAGCGAGGTACAAATAAAGTTTAATAATAAAAAAATAGTAGCATTGTGAGTAGCATTGTCTATGAGAGAAAAATGTGCTGCTGAACTCCTAAACCAAGAAGGGGAGGAGAAAGGAAAGGATCAGAGTCCAAGGAGTTGGAAGAAAAAGTAAACAGACAAGTTAATAAAGGCAGAAAAATGTGAGGAGCTGAGTGGACTTTGCTGGAAAGCAGAAAAGAGGAATCAGTTTTACATTAGTGAAGGTAAGAAAATGTGGGCCTTTGTCTTAGAACTGCAAAGAAAACTATACTGAAAACATTGAAGTGAAAGGAGAAGCCAAAAGGGGTCTAAATATAAAGCAAAATTGTAGCAAAACATTTGCTTTCTTTCCCCCAGGAAATTATTTTCTCCTCATTGCCACCATGTTAACTAATGTGAGAGTGGGTTGTTGTAGGTTTTTTCAGGCTATAATCAAATGCCATTGTCTAGAGGCATTCTCTCCTGACGTTTCGCCTGCATCTACGGCAAGCATCCTCAGAGGTAGTGAGGTCTGTTGGAACTAGGAAAAAGGGTTTATATATCTGTGGAATGACCAGGGTGGGACAAAGGACTCTTGTCTGCTGGAGCTAGGTGTGACTTTCAACTGACCACCTTGATTAGCATATAATGGCCTGACAGTGCCTGGAGCAAACTTTTGTTCAGAGGTGATTAGATGTTCTTGTTTGTTTCCTCTCTGTTGTTGTGTTGTTGTAATTTTAGAGTTTTTTAATACTGGTAGCCAGATTTTGTTCATTTTCATAATTTTTCTAGATGTCCTAGTAATCCGCAAACCAGATCAACAATTGGGTCACACCATTTACAGAAAACCCACACAAATAGATATCTACTCCAACCATCACCCAAGTCAAAAAAGAAGCACCATTAAAGCCTTGGCAGACCGTGCAAAAAGAATCTGCGAACCCCACCTCCTCCAAGATGAACTGAACCACCTCAACAGGGCTCTCCAGGCCAATGGATACTCCACCTCAGACATCAGAAGAGCTGCAAGACCGAGAACAAGCCACGAAAGTAAAGACGAAGATCCACCCAGAGGAAAAGTGTTCCTGCCATACATCAAGGGAGCCACTGACCGCATAGGGAAGCTGATGAGGAAACACAGCATACAAACTATCTACAGACCCGCCAAGAAAATCCAATCAATGCTACGTTCAGCAAAGGACAAGAGGGATCCTCTCACTTCTGCAGGAGTCTACCGTGTACCATGCAGCTGTGGACAAGTCTACATAGGGACCACCAAACGCAGCGCCCAAACACGAATCAAGGAACATGAAAGGCACTGCAGACTACTTCAAAGAGAAGTCAGCCATAGCAGAGCACCTGATGAACCAGCCTGGACACAGCATATTATTTGAGAACACAGAAATGCTGGACCACCCAACAACCACCATGTCAGACTACACAGAGAAGCCATTGAAATCCACAAGCATGTGGACAATTTCAACAGAAAGGAAGAAACCATGAAAATGAACAAAATCTGGCTACCAGTATTTAAAAAACTCAAAAATTACAACAGCACAACAACAGAGAGGAAACAAACAAGGACATCTAATCACCTCTCAACAAAAGTTTGCTCCAGGCACGGTCAGGCCATTATATGCTAATCAAGGTGGTCAGTTGAAACATTCACACCTAGCTCCAGCAGACAAGAGTCCTTTGTCCCACCATGGTCATTCCACAGGTATATAAACCCTTTTTCCTAGTTCCAACAGACCTCACTACCTCTGAGGATGCTTGCCATAGATGCAGGCGAAACTTCAGGAGAGAATGCCTCTAGACCATGGCCATATAGCCTGAAAAAAACCTACAACAACCCAGTGTTTCCAGCCATGAAAGCCTTCGACAATACATTAATGTGAGAGTAATGTAAATCCTTTCTAATGGTGTTAATGCACTGGGTTCTCAGTTGCACATGGACACGATGTATAATCCTCATTTGCAAATTTAAGATGACTGAAAATACCAAGGAAAATTCACAGTTTTATTCTTGATTACCACTGCAAGGATTTAGAATATTATTAAGGTTATTGGGATTGCAACCAAATGTACTGCATACTATAACAGCCAAAGTTAAAATACAGCTGAAATTAATAGTGAGTCAGGAACTTTTTTTTTCTGTATTTCACTCTCAAATCTTAGGCCCCTTCCAGACAGCTGAATAAAATCCCACATTTTTGTTTTGAATTGGAATATATGACAGTGTGGACTCAGATAACCCAGGGCCCTTCCCAGGATATCAAGGCAGACAATCCCACAATATCTGCTTTGAACTGGGTTATCTACGTCCACACTCAAATAATGTGGGATTTTCTGCTTTGATATTCTGGGATATAGGGTTGTGTGGAAGGACCCCCACTTCAAAGCGAATATTGTGGGATTTTCTGCCTTGATATTCTGGGTTATATGGCTGCGTGGAAGGGCCCTGGGCCTCTTAAAAGGCATTCCTTAATAACAGTACAATTGATTCTCAGTTTGGTATTTTATTTCACTTCATAATTATGATTTTAAATTGACACCTTCCAATTTTTTTCTTTGTGGTTTCAAGGCTTCGGCATCTAACACTGAATTTATTCTACAATTAAATAAAACCAAGCCTCCAGGTTTATTTATTCAATAATTTCATAAAATAGACTCATTTCAAGGGTGCCAAATACACTAGTAAAGGAGAATATCACCACAGTGAGGCTGTTTAGTTCTACTTTCCTTGAGCTCAGACTCCACAGTTATGGAGAATGGCTGTAAGCCACAAGTAGGGGCCTTTCCACACAGCCCTATATCCCAGAATATCAAGGCAGAAAATCCCACAATAGCTGCTTTGAACTGGGTTATCTGAGTCTACACTCAGATAATGTGGGATTTTCTGCCTTGATGAATTGCATTGTATGACCAGTGTAGACTCATATAATGGAGATTGAACTGCATTGAACTGTATTATATGAATGTACACTGCCATATATTCCAGTTCAATCTGCATTATAATGGCTGTGTAGATCAAGTCTAGGGGCCCTTCCACACAGCCCTATATCCCAGAATATCAAGGCAGGAAATACCACATTATCTGAGTGTGGACTTGGATAACCCAGTTCAAAGCAGATATTGTGAGATTTTCTGTCTTGATATTCTGGGATATAGGGCTGTGTGGAAGGGTCCAATGTTTCTGCTTGTATTTTGCAGTGACAAGCATTCTTCTAGATTCATTTCCTTCATAAAAGTAAAGATTATTGAACTGGTGCCTACGTTTTGAACACTGAAAAATGAGTAGACATTATCTCTGCCTTCCTCATGGGAAAGAGAAGCTTGGGGTTGAATTTTACCCAGTGGCTGGTGCTGCTGAGTCTCAGGGCCTTTCCTATATCCCAGAAAATCAAGGCAGAAAATTCTTCATTATCTCAGTGTGGACTCAGATATCCCAGTTCAAAGTAGATATTGTGGGATTTCCTGCCTTGATATTCTGGAATATAGGGCTGTGTGGAAGGGCCCTATATCTCGGTACCACAAGGTGCTGAAAGCTTCCACTTGTCTCTCGGGGCCCTTCCACACAGCCCTATATCTCAGGATATCAAGGCAGGAAATCTCACATTATCTGAATGTGGACTCATACAAGCAGATATTGTGGGATTTTCTGCTTTGATATTCTGGGATATAGAGCTGTGTGGAAGGGCCCTCTGTTGAATAGGGGAGAAAGTTGTTAGGAAAGGGGCCCTAAGACCCCCCCCCCCCCAAAAAAAAAAACCTGAATGAAACCCTTCTCATAATATGCATGCATAATTTCATCACCAAAGTGAGTGTTGCGATAAGATTATTGAAGTCCAGCTATTGATAGAATATAACTACAGGCAACCTTTTAAGTTATTTTTCCAATATTGTCCAATCATGCCTTTTAGATAAAATCAAGCTGTATTTGGAAGTATATCATCAGAACTATTGGCACTGATGGAGACAGAATAACTCTTGCAATTATAGTTAGGCCCAGGTGAATGGCCAATAAAACTTGGAAAGTGGACACACAGTGCTCTTTCTTTAATTAACAGAAGCAATTAATTAACCATTACTTCTTAATTTAATTATTAATCAATTTGGTGTTTTTAAATGCAAAAAAGTAAAAGAAGCAGCTGGTCCCTTTGCAGAGTTCATAGTGAATGTCACTTGGTCAGTCATCAGCTATTACCAATAATAAAAATGATGAATGGCTGATTATTAATTCATTACTTAACACTGCTATAGTTTGAATGAACTTTTACAGAGCTGTCATCTAGCCAAGTTCAACATGTAAATGTTCAGCAAAGTCTTAAAACTGACCATGGTTTTCACCACAGCTATATACCACACTGACAGACACACATTTTGGTGCCTCAAATGTTAGCCCTGTTGCTTGGTATATTTGATGTGCTGATTCCAATAGTGGTGCCAATTTTCCCTTATCTGTTTTTGGGATACAGAACATATGCCATCTACCAGTTGCCACATGTTCGCCCATACAAAACCATGATAAATGTATCTAAGAAATTAGAGCTGATGCAGTCTATCCAATGCCATTTTTTAAATAACCACCGCAAATAACCCCAGGAACAGGTCTAAAGACCAAGACACCAAGAGTTTTGTTGTTGTTGAGTTGTATTATTGATGTGTCTCTCCAAATAATTTCTGACTCAGGGCAACCCTAAGGTGAAACTATCATAGTCTTTTCTTGGCAAGATTTGTGCAGAAGCCTTTGCCTTCCTCTGAGGTTGAGAGCACATGACTTGCTCAAGGTCACCAAGTGGGTTTCTAGAGATTTCAACCCTGGTATATAGAATTGTAGTTGTCCTGCATATGTCTGATAATTGCATGTGCAGACTTGGATTTGAATATATTTCAGAGGAAATTCTTCATATCACTGAAGACTTTTAGGAAATTATTGCTTAGTTTTTGACATTGTCATGTTTTGCGAGGAAACAGTTGTCCCCTGGGTTATTCAGTCATACAATGAAGTGTCGACCTTGAACTGTCTTTAAGCCTGCATTTGCCCATTTTCAGTTGAGCCTAACAGTAAAAAAAAACTTCCAGATTCTTTAGATAGCATCTGTGAATCAAGGAGCTAAAAAGCCTAAAGATTGCTCAAGCTTCAAAACACAAGTTTCAATGTGTTGATGCACCTGCTATTTTCGGGAGCGCAGATTGTCGAAACAATAATGTTGCCTGCAGCCTTTTGCAAGTGTGAATGGAATTTGTTACTGTTGTTGGATCAGTGGAAGAACACAGAAGTTGCTGATATAGCTTTATAGGGAAAGTGTGGTATTTAAAACTAATGGCTTTAGGGCTACAGCAGTATGCTGCCTGAAAAAATGCTAGGACTGAGAACTTCTAACTTTTTGCTTACAGTCCCAAACATTTCACTTTTAAGAGCTTGTAGTCTGTAGCTCAGCAGACATAACTAACTTCACTTCCACAGACTAACTTCACATCAGATGCATGGCATAGAATCTAAATTGCAATTTTCTCTCTTGTCATTTTCAGGGTTAAGAAATGAATAACTTGAAAATGGATCTATCTGCTCATGGCTCACCAGTAACCATTATAGAAAACATTGCCTCCCAGCTAGAATGCAGTACCTTGGACAAGAAAGTCGCTCTGTACTTAGATGAAGAAGATGAACTGAAATATCTCCGAGAATGTTTCCATATTCCCAAAGTGAAGGATCTGCCTCCAAGTAAGAACTGCAATTACAACAAGGGAGGCTTTGCATTTACTTGCATGTGTTTATCCTAAAACTGTGGGAATCATTGCCACTTAAAGGATAAATGGGGCACTTGTAAGTGCATATCTGAACACAGCGTGTCTCTGCAATTGCTAAATCAGTATCTTAAGTTGAAAGCTTTATGTTCTCATTCCATACTGAATAAAATGGAAGAATATAATACAGCACTCATGTAGTGCTTACGCTGTCACTCCTCTTCTTTGAACTATATGGTGACTGATTGAAAATTATAGACAGGAATGTTTCCTCTTACTGGATTTGAACTCCCTTGCCTCCCAAGTACTTCTTCCTTAAAGAAGCAGCCATTTGGGATGTGCATAAAAGCAGTTGCATTATCACTTTTTAAAAGAAGGGTGGAATCACTCAGGAAAGTGTCCAGCATAACGCTTATGTGGAATGGGTAGATGTTGCATGTGAACAAGTGTATTGTACCCATTACTTTTCTGTCTATATAAGGGATGGTCTAAATTCCTATACAGTTAGCCCTTCACATTCACTGGGGTTAGGAGAACCAATCCCTCACAAAAGTGAAAAATCAGGAATATTATTTTTTTAACCTGTGAAAACATTGCTCTAGAAATCTATTAGTTGATAATATAATTGCACTAAAAGATTTAGAGGTTGCAATGTCCATAGGGTTGTGCTGGAGGACCTAGAGATTTCTCAAGAAAATATTCAATCAAATCTGTGAATAATCAAATCCGCAAAAGTCAAATCCAAAAATATGGTGAGCCAACTGTGTACTGCTTATTGGATTTAAAGAACTCAGTTGATTAACCAGTCAAATTAATAGGTAAAAATAGGAAGATCAATTAAAACAGTGTTGCCTGGACAGCTGTCCGTTAAATAATAATTGCAACATTCAACATTATGAGTGAGAAAAGGCTATCCATCTATTAAGATAGCACACTCTTTATAACAGAAGTTCATTCTATGTTACAAAAAGAATCCTGTCATTTCACAAAATGCTAAGAATGCCACTTCTAAATAGGAGTGAAAATAATATTTGAAAATGTTTGAAAAATGATCGCCCCCCTCCCATGTTGAAAAACACTTACAAAATGTCCTGAACTGGCAATAATCTTTATAGATATTTAACAACAACAACAACAACAACAACAACAATAATCTTTTTTTATATCCAACCACCATCTCCCAGAGGGACTCGGGCCGGCTCACAAAGCACTCAAGGCGTGCCATGCAAAATATAACAAGTGCAAAACAAAACATTCAAGTAGACAATAAACAATCAACAAAATATCATAAATTCACATTACCTCCTGGTAAAAACAATAAAATACAGCAATTGCCATAGATAAAACAGCATTATTCAATTTCAGAAGTATAAAGTGCTAATAAAGAATCTAAAGATACTCGTATATTATTAGATAATCATTCTACGCAAAATTTCTGCACTCTTTTGGAAGAGAAAGCAGTAGAAATATGATTTCCTTCACAGAAATTGCTATAATTGGAGAATTCTTCTGGATAAAATTCACAGATGGTTGATTTTCATAGAAAACAACATATTAGTATTATATTTGATACAGAATACAATGCCTTCTGCATAAACTAAGCACTTGCAAATTGTATGCAGAGTAATTTCTAAACTGTGAAATTAAAATCTGTGGTTCTCAAAAATTATCTTGCAGTGGAAAGAAAATTGCTAAAATTACTTGTTCCTTTATCCAAGAAGAATATTATTACAGAACTACATGCCTTCCTATGAGATGGCATATGCTCTAGCTATTGTATATATCATATCTAAATTATTGTTGTTGTTGCACAATAAAACAAACAAAACCAGTGGATCCTGCCTGAGTTGTAAAATTCATAATGATTGCGTTATTTATGTGCATAAAAACACTTACAGTATGTCCACTCTATTCACTGAATTGGTACTTGCTTATCAATGTGAGACAAAGCATGCCCTCGTGAGGTTTCAGCTATTACAGAAATGTACTTCTCATGAATCATCAATGATTTCTCGTCTCCAAATATGATTGCCTTCCAAGTATAGGGTCTTAGCTGTTTGTTTGTAGGTGACTGTAGAGACCTATTCTTTGCATGTCATATATGCAAAGTTAGTTAAACAAGTAACAATGAAAACTAATCCAGTGTTTTCAATAACTTGAGCAGACGTGTTAGTTAGACTAGAAGAGGTGCTATCTCATGATCTTCCAAATACTTATAAGTCTATTAGTTCCGAGTTAGATAAAGAAGCAGGAACTTAAAAAGGTCATCTTCTTCAAAGTTGATTCCAACAAATCCACAAGGCTTGCTTAAGTTGAACTTCTAATGAGAACCTGTTAATGTATATGTTAATAAAGACTTTGATGGTGTCTGTTCTTTAGCACAAGGGTCAATCTAGCCATGGGGTTTATAATCAGTGATCACTTCCAGTTTTAAAATAATTATCCCCATTATCCATTAATGAATTAACTTCAAATCAGCACTTTAGTAATGATGTTTCAGAATTATGCATTAACTTGTATATAACGAGCATCTGGAAAATCTTGTTTCCATTCTGCCTTTGAAAAATCTTCTAATATACTGTATGGTGAGCATTTCGGTCTCAAGATTTGGAGTAGGGTTGGGAATTGTGTGGGTGAAGTAGTGAGTGGAAGTCTTTTGCTGCATTAGAAAAACTGACAGAACACTTATTAATGATATTAGTATTATTATGTATCAAAATACAGGTAGTTGTAATCAATGTTAGCAGGATGATGGAAAAAATTGAGAGTTTTTAGAGATTTCTGACAACACTCTCAGTACATATTTTAAACCAAGAATTAAACCAAATGAAACAAAAATTGTCTTATTCTTTTGCTTGCAATGCACCCCATGCTGTGTTGGCACTGTATGGATTAATGACAATAATCATCATCATCATGATTGTGGCCATCACCACGACCACCACCACCATCATCATCCTAACTCAGATAAAAGGGAACCTTCCTCCTATTCACAGCCTTACAAAGAGGACAGCAAAATGGCATATGTGATATATGTATGTATAAAGCATAGCAGGGGTCACTGCTAAAACAGACAGTGATAGCTCTCAGGAATGGATGTGATCACTACTACACTTAAGGGAATACTTTTGAGTACTGCCAACTTTTACTTTTCTAAACTTTTTCTTCAGTTTTTCCTAGCTATCCAATTCAAAACCCTAGACTCAATGAACTCCCATTCATTTCTAGAAAATGTCTCATTTCCATAGCTTTAAATTCATACTGAAACTAATCGACAGTCTTTGCTTTCCCCCTCATTTTCTCCCAGAAAATTCTTCAAGCATGCATTACTCTTTAAGTTGTGCTTCTAAAGTATCAAGACATATATTGACTATTTTTAGTTTTTTTATTGAGACCCCTAAATGATTAATACATTAGAGGTTTTCATGTAGCTGCACATTTTGTTTCAAAATCCATGTTATCCATGAATATGATATGAGCCTTATTGATTTGTAGGCTTCTGTAAATTCTGTTAGATCAACACTCAGTACTAAGTATGTCAAGTTTGGTCCATATCTATCTCTACATTCATACACACACATCAGATAAATCCTGAATAACAGAATATACTGTCCTATCAGAAATTAAAGATGAAAAAGAATACCTTTTCTGATTAGCAAAATGTTAGCCTAGATTTTCTACTAGAATAGTGTAAATGTGATTTTGCATAATAATAATCATGGACATTGCTCCTACCAATAGTGAGAATTAGAGATGTGGAGTGCATTGTGTATGTGCCTTCAATTTGCCTGTTGAGTTATGGTGACCCCATGAATTTCGTAAGATTTTCGTAAGCACTGAATTGTCGGATGTGGTTTTGCCAGTTTCTACCTCTGAAATACAGTGGGTGCTTCTCATCCATTGAGGTTTGGTTCCAGGACCCTCTGTGGGTATAAACAAAAAATCCATGAATGCTCATGTCCAGCAATGGTGTAGCAAAATGGTGTCCCTGACTTAAATTGCAAAATCAAGGTGAACTTTTTGAATTTTTAAAAATATGTTTTTGCTGTGTATAGTTGAATTCATAGATACAGAAATAAAGTTTATTATTGTTTATTTATTTTTCGTAGGCAAGTGAAGTCACCTTTGGTTAATACTTGACTGGGAGGCAGCTAAGGAATCCCAAGTAAGCTTTACTGTTGGCTCTCCATATCCATAGATTATAGACTGCCCTATCTCTCTGAAGGGCAGTTGCCAAAAGAAAACCCTACAAACAGTTTGCACCAGGACAAGACACATTAAACAATATATACAAAGATCAGATTGAGGCCAGGACTCAAATATATTATACTTAAGATCTTAAAATATGCATGTAAATGTCCATAATCTAAGACTGCTCATCTCCTCCTACCCCTTCCCTCTTTGCCCGGTTCTCTTCTCAAGATCCAATTATCCAGTCTAGCCAGTCAAATTAAGAACTTCTGCAGTCCAGAAGTATTCAGTCCAGGACTATTTCCAATGGATTGCAACAAAAATTAATGTCAGGTAGCATTTCCATTTTATTGGTTTGCTTTATGAGCATGGATTTGGGCAAGAAGTACAAAAAAGGTCTTGAAACTGGGTACCACTTTCATCTTATCTGGTCTGGGATGATGACCCTCCTCATCTCATAGTAGCTGATGAAGTTCACTTCAGTTACATTTGCTTAATGGCCTACTGAACCTCCCCATAGAAGCTTGGACTCTTTTACCTCAACACTCAAGAAGTTGAAGGTTAAAGTACTTGAACTTTTTGAATAGCTCTTTTAACGTTTCACTTAAAAACTCATAGACAAGGAAGTTGCCAATGACCACTGCTTGCCTGTTCAGAGATAAGCCTCCTTGGGGCTCCAGAGCAATTACTCCTCATGTCATTGGCTTGGTGTGAGCTCAATAGTGCCTAGTAATTTGGAAAAATGCCCGATCTTTTCCATGAATTGATGGTCTTTTATATGACAGT